TTAAAACAGGCATGCCAGGAATAAAAAATTAATGTAAAGTTTTCTTCAGTTGGCTATTGTTTGCAGCTCTTATGATTGGTTGAAACCTTTTAACACAAAGAAAATACCCCTTAAAATGGGTATGGATACATTTATTTTCTAAAACATTTTTTTGTTTTTCTGAAAATATGGTTAGAAACTTTTCAAACATACTGAGCTATTCATCTGCTTAACATAGGATGTAACTTTTAATATGGGGTCTGCTTAAATAAACAGGTTTTGCCGTTCACTATAGAAAATGAGTAATTAGGTTTGTTATTTTTTTCTGTGTGGGAGGGGAGTATAAAAAATAAGACACAACTCAGTAAGAAGCTATACACAGCTTGAACTTATTGCAATAGTTTTTATTCTTAATACTTTTGAGCACCTTCTATAACGAAAAAAAGAAAAGACTAGATTCAGCAGCCGACGCCTAAAACCATGAGTGCTTAATTACTAAAATAGAGAAAACTTGCTGGGTCAATAAGTGGCAACACAACATCAAAAGGTCCTATGCATCCATCAATGCCTGAAGCTTGAATTATGCTGTGGTACGATTTGTATTCAAACCCCTACATTTATTATACATGCAGCAAGCTTATATTATTTAACACACTTAACAAATGTTTGGGGTTGTTCTTACCTACACATTGTGGTGCAGGATCTGTAAAGGTTAATTATTACAGGTGTATGAGGAAAATATGAGGCTTGGTAAAACCACATAGAGTAAATAATAAACTCCAGATGAGATTATCATACTGTCGTATTTATTTCAACACCGTTTACAACATGAAAAAACACAAATAACCTTACACAAATAAAGCTTTTACAAGCAAAAATCGTTTGCAGGATACACACTCGGTGATCTTTGTAGTGTTTTAGCCTCGCGAGTAAATAATGCGTTAGCTCGGTGTTTTGCCAATCTTTTTAGAGCAAGAACCTTTCAGAATTCGGCAAAATCCTAGGGTCCATTTTTTTGAAGGTAAGAAAAGACTTCAAAGCATTCAAAAGAGCATTTTCCGATTAACTTTACTGAGCAATATTTTTCGCTCGCTGGAATGTTGACAATTACAGTTTAAAAATGGAAGAGGTGGTTTTGTAAACTCAACATTTCCTTCAAAGGTGAATTTTCCCCAGAAATCAAATTCAACTTATGACCAAAAAAAGTAAAAGCAAATCTTTACGAAATCTCGAGATTTCAATGTCAAGAAAACTACAGAGAAACGGCTCCTTACCTCGAGCAACCGGGCCACAATTGTCTGCACTTATTAAAGAACAACACAAGCTGCACAAAATTAAACCTTTTTCCCTAACTTGGCGAGTCGACAGATGAAAACAAAGCTCTTCTTTTCTTCACAGGCTTGGAAGCAGAATTTAAAGTTCTGGCGATTCCATATAATCCATTAGGCCATTGTTTGCGAAAGGATTTTTTAACTGCGATTTGATTTGCAATGTTTGAAAATTCTGTAAAGATCAAACTTTTGCACATACCGATTTTCACACATGAGTTGATCCGTCAAAACCGGGTTCCTTCTGTGAGTACCGGAGCACAGATTACGTAATACAAAAGCAATAAAAGACAGGAAACAAAACAACTCCAAATAAAGACTAATCCCAAGTGACCAAAAATACAAAGCTTTCCGGTACCTGCAGAAAGACCCCAAAACCGTCAATCAAATTGAAGTTAAATGGTCTCCTTACTGATTTTCAATCTTGGTGAATAGTGGCTTTAGGAATATTAACCTCGCCGCGAATATTCCGCTTCTATTCACCTCGTGTTCAAGAATATTAAAGCGCTTAATTGTTAATTGTCCAATGTGAAGCACGTTACAAAATATCAGTCGAAGCAGGAAAAGGTGTTTTCCACATGATTCCTGGTCATGTCCTTGAGAAAAATACTAGAAACCTTTATACGTTTTTTTCCTTCCTTTTTCAACAGAAAATACGTCCACACGGTCACTTGTACGGTCGTCTTTGTAGGACTCGCATTTTGTGTTCAACTCTTAACGCTTATCCGGGCCGCATTGCTACTTGTCGTCTTTCCAGCTATTCCAACAAAAACGATGGTCCACGCGGTCGCTTTAACTGTATTTCTACCGTTTCTTGCAAAGGATCCGTTTTTGTAGAAGTTTTAACCAATTTCTATGGTAGGTTCTTCGTTGAAGAAGGACAATTTATCAAGTACACACCCGCCACACCGTCCCTCCACTTAGGCAGCCATTTTTTTCAGTTATTGACACCGCCTCGCTTTGGCGCGCTGAATATTCCGGAAGTCAACCAGTTTACCGGAAACTGTTTCTGCATGGTCCGCATAGTTCTAAAAATAACTTTTTTGGGATTAAGATATCCCAAAGGCGTGACTGGGAGTGTCCCTCTCTGTCCTATTATGGCTCTTGTTCCACTCAATTAGCTATGATGTAATTGTATCTCTACTACCAGAATATTTTGATGTTTTGCTTATTGTGAAATTGAGGGGGAGAAAGACCAGAACAGAGAGAGTGGTGAAATTCCAACCTAGACGCTGTCAACAACAGTCGTATTCAGGACAACACCCACTCAGACGAACATACAATATTCCATACACTTAACCTATAAAGTGACAAAGCCAGTGAAAAAGAAGGAGAAGGGAGTTGGGAGTTGGGAAGCTAGGGCATAAAAAAATTAAATTGCATTAATCAGAATTGACATAAATTAATATATATTTTGCCGACATAGAACGGAGAACTGGGATAGAGGTGTCGCGGTTGGGGGTTTCAAATTGCGTTTGTTAAGTTATTTCCTATCAATCTATTGCCACCATCGCCACGTTAACTCGTCTCTTTAAATAGAGTTTCAGTCGTTCTATAAGCCTGAATTTTGTTCTTTGCAAACTGTGTATGCTTCTTAGGCATTTTAAATAGCACCTCGTCTTCCATAGCATAGGTTAGGGTACACGGTCCCTACTTTTCAAATATAGTTGTTTTTCGTGTTTTCACCATTTTCACATAGACCATAAAGCACCTTGTTAACTTCCCAAAATCTCGTATAACTATTGTTTTCGCTTCCTCTCAGGATGATTGTCATAACCAGGAGAAATTGGAAACTTTGGTTTTGAAAAATTTGGGGGGAGGGAGTTAAAAAGGTGCATTATGGTCTATATGTGAAAATGGTGGGTTACGTGAGGGACCGGCTGACCGCCAAGCGTTAATTTGTGTGTTCGGTCGTGTAGTGGAAGCAAAACCTGCGTTAACTTGATATTGGACATCCATATTGGCCATTCTAGAAAATGCCATAACATACCATAATGCTCTTTGTTTGTCACCCCAAAATTTTGCATAAGCATTGTTTTCAGTTTCTCTTGGGGCCATTTTAACTCCCAAGAGAAACTGAAGACAATGCTTTTGCAAAATTTTGGGGTAACAAACAAAGAGCATTATGGTATGTTATGGCATTTCTGGAGTGGTCAATTACAGTCAATTGATAGCTTTTAAAACTGTTTCCGCTGACCAGTATCAAAGGAACATGTCGGTTACACCAACAATTAAGTTAATGTTTAATTAAGGTAAAAAAAAAAACCGTGTACGATCAATCTTGCTCAACGTCGGATCCAAAAAGATCGTGAACAGTCAAAATAGATCACATTGAAAACGTTACAGTCAAGAAGACTTTAGCAGGGACTGATCAAACAACGTGAAATTGAGTTTAGTTGCGATATTTCGACTGGCCAATACCAGTTAATGTGAAATACGTCACTTCGATTTGTAGTGCATCTGAACCCGCGAAAAGGTCATTAAGTAATATCAGTCCATAGATGCCCCATTTTGAATTTTGAATACCAGTTAATGTGAAAGTTAATGTGAAATGTGACACTAACCCAGGCATTGTTTTAATAAGTGGTATGTCATCCACGTCAATAATCTATGGACTGATATTAGGGACCTTTAGCATCAGGTTTTTCGTGGGAAACGGCAAACCGCAAAATGTCACGTGACCACGGCCTTGCGGTCACGTTTGCAGTTTGCAGTTCACGTTTGAACCGCGGGAAGGGCTTCCAGCGGTAAGTGATTTACGGCAAGGTTTTTTGCCACAAAAAATTGTACAGCCTCGCGTTTAAAGGTATGAACTAGCCTTTCGTATCTGTTTGCGATGTGTTTGTTGGATTTCTGATCTCGAATCAATGAATTATTGCTGATTTTTGGGCGATTAAAGTGATGCACTTCGACTTGATGAAAACAACATGGCGGCCGTAAACAATGAACGCGTAGTTTAAATCAATTTTATATTCCTTTCTGCCGTACTAACAATGGAAAGTATTCTGTTCCAATCCAGAGTTAATTTTTTTTTCTATCTTGAATTCATAACTTAACTCAGTCTCTGTTTGGTTCCTATTTTTAACGTATCACTCCGCGAATATCATTTTATTTTGCTTTTTTCTTTTAGACTGGTGAGCTCAGGCTTCATAAAGCCTTCTGGTCTCTTCTGGGCTCCCTTGCAATCTTACAATTCCTATATGTATTCTTGTATTGTATTGTATTTTGGCTGAATAAAAGTGAACTGAACTGACCTGAACTGAACGCCTTGCTAAAGTTTGAAACCTCGGCAACGCGAAACTGCAAACGCGTAACTGCGGTTTGCGGTTTGCGGTTTGCGGTTTGCGGTTTACCTGATGCTAAAGGTCTCTATTACTTAATGACCCTTTCGCGGGCTCAGATGCATTACAAATCGAAGTGACCTATTTTTATGTTAAGGGTGATTAGTTCAGCTGAGATTTGTTTTTGATTTGCGTTTTAGAAGAAGTATCTATTGGTGGCCCTGACCTTCAATGATTCCCTTTCGACACCCAGTCTTTAATTTTTTTCCACACCCTCTCCTTCCCAAGTTGAAGATAACATCAGTAGCCTCAATGCCTTTTAGCTATCTTTATTGCGTTTTCATAACATATGTTCAGGGGCTTTAATCCTTTAGCTTTACCAAGAGAGAATGATCTTGGGTTTACTTATTCTCTATGGGCAGTTGTCTATTACTTTGCACACGAAAGGGAGCTTCGCGTCGTTCGTCTTCGCCTTCCACAAGCCATTGTCTCCGCTGATGGAAACATAGTTTTCATCGTCGGTGACGTCTGGTTTCCACTCCCCAAAGTCCAGTTCTGTGTCATCGGTCCAGACCCACGGTCTGTTTCGCACGGTCCTCCTCTTCAAGCCAATCCAGGCCATCGATCCTGAACCAACCATTTCCTTGATAGTTCGATTTTCATCCTGACTGTGGATGCTGGCTAGATGACCTCCCCTACTCTGACATTCTCTCTCAGCCGTGCGTGCCTTCATGGGAGTTTCAATCAAATCAAGCCTAAGGAATTTAGCTACGAATGCGAAGAAAAAAAGAAAAGTAAGTGGAAAAATTATTGCCAAGACCGTTTTGAGCGCTACAACTTCTTCACAACAATCTTCCAAAAACGTGTACAAGAAATGCATTACAAGAAAACTGTATTATTTTGGAACACAACAGAACTCTACAACTATCGAACTACTTGAATACGAATTCCCTGTTATCACAAGGACCCATGCACCGTCTACCATTGCACAAAATCAACTGGATTAACTTATACTTGCCTCTACCGAAAACTATATTCTATGGGAGGTCCCTTTCAAAAACTTCATTCAAGACCTCTAATGCCATGTTTTCACGAGAGATACTTACCTCCAGAAATGTTAAAATAAAACGTGTAAACTAAAAAGCATAAGACGTCAGTCAAGAGACAAGACCAGAGGTAATCGAGATTAACCAAGGCAAAAGAGTCAAGCTGTCGCGAGAACATGGCGGGAATCGGCCGGGTAACAGCGAAGAAAATTAAAATTTGCGAAAGTTTCCTTAAAATATGGTTAAAGCTCTCGTAAACGACTACCTCGGTAGGGAAGGGAGAAAAAAACTTTCTATAAACGCTGGAGTGTGTCATAATGTGAGGCTACGGATTGTCGTCATTTTAGGTTAACGAAAGACTCCAGGCAAAAGTACACGGAAATGCGTAGTCATAACCTCATTAAAATACCAACAAACATTATAGTTAACAGCAACAAAATACCCGTTGTACAAACCATCTTCCAATTTTTTATAGTGGCAGAAACGCAGCTCAACTTCTTGACGAGATACCATTCCAAACGGTTTAACATTTCCGTTTATTTCTGAATTGGGAGCTTCAAACGTTGGAGTATTCGCAGCGGTTCTCACAGCTACGTCTGTTACTTGTGCACCACAAACCTTTTGACACGAGAATCCTTGGACTCTTACCAGTATAAACGGATTCTCTATAAAAAAAAAACAGAGTAAATGTATCAAATATCTTTATTATCATACAGGTACAGTGTACATAGCAGTACTTACAAGATGTAAAATTAGATTACACAATTAAAAAGCTAGAGAGTACTTTGAATACAATCTATTTATAAAACTTGAAAAACGTCCCGTGTTGATACAGGGTAACTGGCTACTTCGAATTCTTAAACCTTTCGAGGGTTCTTTAGCTCTGGGCGGAAGATTGTATAAAGGATGGTTAGACTGCCTACTTATCTTTCTGTAAAATAACCTGTCGGTTTTTTCGACCTAATCATACGTATCTAAAGCATGAGAGCGACGTTTGTGGCACCTGTGAAGGAACTGCTGGACAGTAGTAAGCTCAGGTGTAGAGGCTGCATACACAGATAAACCATTATACAAGATCTTAGTTATAACTAATTATTATATGGCTGAGTCTGTTTTCGCCATGCGATTGGTCAATTTGCGGTCCGTAACTTGCTATACGGATCAAAATTTTTAAAGAAAATGCTCATTTCGGAGCTCTAAATCTCTTTACCTCAGAAAAAAAGGTTTAAATAAAGTTATAAGACGCCTGTCAACCTTGAAGACTTGGATGTTGACTTTGGCCTTCAACATTTTAAACTGTGTTTATTTGTGAACGAAGGCGATGAAGAAACTAACTCGTAATCTTATCGACGGGGATTCTAGTCAGTGTTTGAAAATTTTATCGTAGTTTAAGAAGACGAAAATCGACTGCCAGAGATTCGAGATGTTTTGCCTAAAAGAAAATGAGTAATTCCTTCAACAAATATGATATCAAACATACCTGCACCCGATCATCTTGACAAGCTTCTTTGCCATTTGCAGTATTTTCTCAAAGACCAACGAAAGAAAGGTAGAAGCGAGTTCGAGCCAGACACAATAATGTCCAGTTTTCAAAAGACTCCAGCGTCACATTAACGAGTGAATACTTACAATGCTCTTAGTTTTCACCGAATAAACGTTGAAAAATGTATGTAAACCCTGAGACTGGGATGTTGACTTTGCCTTTCCAAATTTTAACCTAGCTTTGGTTTAATAACTTACCGAGGAAGAGAATTCTAGTCAGTGTTTGAAAATTTAAACGCAGATCACAATTGAAGAAAAGAATGAACTGGCAGAAAGAGAGGTTTTCCCAAAAACAATTAACGAGCGAATCTTTCGACAATGGCGACAAACTTACCTTGAAAAGTTTCTTTGCCTTTTGCAGTGTTTTTTTCAGAAGAACAAACGGAGGAAAGATGGAAACGACTTCTAGACAGACACAGTGTCCGGTTTCCAAAATACACCAGCGTTACATTTAAGAGCTAAAACTTACAGAGCTCTTAGTTTTGACCGAATAAACTTTTTTAACATGGCGAATTTGTTTTTACTTTCTCGGAAAGCCTTTGTTGTGTGCTATTGTTTTCGTGCGCCAATAAAAACTTTCTTTTTTGACACCTGTCAAATGACTGTCAAATCGTGCGTCCTGCACTTGTTTCCGGTCCCCCAAACAGGACGAAGCCATATAATAAACATCTTATTAGCCTCGTTTTTTTTCAGTCCGTACTGTAAATTACGGATCCTCGTTTTTTCCCATCGATTTATGGCCCAAGCGCGAAGCGCGCGGGCCATAAATCGATGAAAAAAAAACTCGGTCCGTAATTTACAGTACGGACCGAAAACTCGGCTAATAAGAGGTATATATTTCATCTTGATTGTATCCGTCCTTTATAAAGCAAGAAAATTAATTACACATGGTTTCCTTTAATGCATTTAAGCCAAAGTTTATATCAAAAAATCTAAAAAGATTTAAAACACCGGCAAACAAGTGCTACTAAGTAAAATGCTGCTGAAAGGCAGATTTTTGCTATCTAATATTTTAAGGGAAAGTGTTTCTCGTAAAGAACGATGACGTGGAAACTCTAAACGGTGTGTGCTCCTGTCAGTTATGAACAAAGGCTCGATTTGGGCTTACCAAAGGGTGTAGCGTCAAAGAAATTTTCCCGTCTTAAACAGAACAAGTGCGGTTATCTGCCGATAAGGAATGAAGGAGCTAAGGAGACGATTTCTAAAAGCGATAATCACTAAATGAAGATGAAGCATAGAACCAGCACAAGTTTTATGTCCGAATAGCGACGTAAATTAGATATAAATAGAATTTTAAAAGAAAACATACAAGTATAAGTTAATAAAAATTTAAAGTAATTTTTTCAAGTTCACAAAAGTCAGAGTGCGAAGTATGAATCTTAATGATGTTTATCAAACTCCTCTTTCTTTGTACTTTATCTTTTCTTTGTAAAAGCCTGAAAATTAACCGAGTCTTACCCAAGGGTAAATGAATTCCATTGTCCACAAAGCCATCTTGCCTGCAGCAGAATTCTATCTTTAAGTGTCTGTCACTGTCAAACGAACCATCAGGGTATGTGCCTTCTTTTACTGGATATTTCAAATAGCCGTCAGGGACTGGCATAAACCTCCAGTCATCATTCCAAGTAACAGAAGCAGCCTCGAAATCTGATGATTAAACAATGTTTACACAAATAAAAAAAACATATTTTTCAAAATGAATGGCTTATTCACCCTCTCGACAGCTTCAGTATTTCTGTAACTTCAGTACTGTCTGGAACTCCGATAAAGGCACAATTCCGCGTTACAAAAATTCTTGATATTGCCGTTTCATCGGACACGTCCACTACCAAAGCTACGGCGAGTTTCATATTCCTGAAACAAAAAAACACAAGGCCTAAAAGCAAGTGAGATCAGGTTAATAGTAAAAGGAAGGTAGGGAAAACAGCTCAATGGAAACACAAGTCCAGTGAGTGTTTATTGGAGTTTACTGTTACAGTCAAATCGCTCACCTTTGACGTTTAATTCTTTTCAACTATTTGTTTAGTTTTAGGACAGCGAGGAACCCCGGAATCCGACGAAAGGCCAGTTCAACGTTAGGGAAAAAAAAGGATACATGTAACTTACTCTTAGGGCAACTTGGATTTCCAGGGTTGCTACTTTTCCTTAAGATGCAATATTTGCCACTGGGCCAGACTTGGCTGAAATATGAACTGCCAGGTTCTTTAGTCTTTGTGCAGAACCCATACTTCACTCCTACATAAGCCCCAACACCAATAGACTCAAGGTTAGTGGACGCAATTAAAACATGATTTTGGTCTGTTACACTGCCTGGACGCCACTTGAATCCAGTTCCCTGTGGACACACGTCGGTGCCGTCTTTACTAGCGGTGAACAACGAAAAGTATCCTGATGGCCAAGACAATTGAAGTTCCATGGGGTTATCTGCAGATATAGAAGCTACTTCAGTAACACGTGACCGCTGGGTAAGTTAAAGTGTTTGTTTCTAAGGCTACTGCTTTGTTCTGGTTAAGGTCGGATTGCCATTGACTCGTAATTGTCCCGTGCGTGTACACGCGTGTAAATTTTACTCGCGAACAACAAAAAAATAGAGACAACGTATGAAGTGTTGCCCTTAAAACTGAAGTTGAGCGAAGTTAAACTTTTAATTTTACGCACGATCATTCATCATACATTCCCTTTCATTTATTTGCGAACGTAGATGTACGCAAGTAGAAATTACGCGACAGTGGCCATCCTCCCTATGGATGGATTTCCACTGTCGCGTAATTTTCACGTGCGTACGCATGTAAATTTTACGCTCGTAAATAAAATAGGGGCTATGTATGAAAGGCCGCGCGTAAACGTCAAAGTTGATCGTGGGCTACCTCTTACGTTGACGCGTGACCTTCCATACATAATGCCTCTATTTTATTTACGCGCGTTAAATTTACGTGCGCACGCACGTGAAAATCACGCGGCCGTGGAAATCCACTGTAAGGGATCCTTAGGATATGGAGATCCTAGCGGTAACGGTCAACGTTGACGTAGTAGTACACTTGTGATAACAATAACTGTAGGCTTAAGTTGCAGGTAGACAATGCTGTTAACTGCTTACTGTATATGATAAAAGGTATAAAGTTAAAGTGTGATCATACCCATAGCGCGTTTTACTTCCATTTCTTTCGGGTATGCCTTGATAGCTTGCTTCATGTTTCTCAAAAACTTTTTCAGCTTTTTCAAGCTCATTCGTTTACATGATTTCTTTTTTTGAAGATCTCCTAAATTGCTCCAAAACTTCTGCTCCAGCGTTTCTTCAATTCCTAGTAGTGTCACCTGAATTGGCTCAGGAAGAGAGTCTCCACCAACAGTGTAAACGAGCTGTTGTTCCCCAAAATCTTTTTTGGTCTCCTCAGATTCTTCAAATGTATTGACATCAACGCTGACAGACCCCGTAGCTCCTCCGTACCCTCCTGACACAGACACACTGCTGCCGACCTGAAAAAATATTCAGTCAAGAGAATCGAAAGCGGTTTTTTTTTTTCAAAACAGTTATTCACCGATAGGAAGCGGTAAATATTGGACGATATATCAAACCATCTGTGTAAACGTCCTTCACTTTCTCAGAATATCCCCGTATAGAGGAGTCGTCATAAAGTGTATGTTATGTTATGTTAGGTGCACGAAAAAAGATAGACTGCGAGCAGTCTCTCTTTTTCTTCAGATTTAGTGAAAGCAGTGCACTCGCGGGAGGGGCGAAGTCGCAAGCAACGCGAAACGAGGGCGGCAACCTCTCCCATCTCGCGCCTTCAATCACGCGCGTGGTCATTTGCGTGTCTCGCGCGTTTTGCTTGACGGACTAAGAAAAAAGAGAGGCTGCTCGTAGTCTAGAAAAAAGACAGCAAGAACAATGCATACTCATGGGCCTTTTGCACTGGTCAGTCAAGTTGCAACCCTCAGCCTCTGCATTAGCGCTGCAGTGCTCTACCAACTGAGCTATAAAGATCCATACATTGGGACAAGGATCATTTGCTGAAAACGCCTTAAGCCGTCAAAGGAATAAAACATAGAATGAAGAGTGATGTGAACGCAGAAATACAAATTTTAATAAGGATATGGTCAGTCTATAGCAATTTAAGCAATTGCAATAAATTAATCCCAAGACCCTAACAATTTAAGTTATCAATAGTATAGAAAATACAATCGTACTGTTTTCAAGCAATACAAAAATGAATTAACAAAGCTGCTGAAACCGTGCCAGATTACGCAAAAAAAAAATTTACAGCGAGAAGCAGGAAATTTCACCATTAAAAAAAAGAGAAAGACAAAAATACATTCTGACTCTCGATCCCCATATTGCTTACGTGACTATTAAAATAATCACCTAGTTAACGCTTTCCTTACATTTTCTGAAGCATAAGACATAAACTCTTTCAGAGAGCTTCTAAATCTTGTGATTTTTTTGGTCCCCAATACAACTTTAACCACAACGTGCTGAAAAGAAATAAAACAAGAATCGGCCTTACACAAGCATTGTGACTTTTTATATTAAAAAAAAACTGTTTGAGGACTTACATGTAAGAGTTCTTAAGAACTCGTTGAAACTGTGTTGGTTTTTAAGAAGAGGGGAAAAGCGCAGTTCCCGGAGGAAAACCTCTCGGAGCAAGGGGGAGAAATAACAAAAACCTCAACCCACATATAGCGTAGACGCTAGGATTCGAAGCCGGGACTCATTGGTGGGCGAGCTCGAGGCGAGTGCTCTCTGTACAGCCCCCGAAATGATCCCCAACCATGAAATGATCCCCAAATCGACCCCGAAATGACCCCCAATTCTCTTCACTCCGTCCCCGAAATGATCCCCAATTAATTTTAGGAATGGAATGATATCCTAGAACTATGGATTCAGCAAAATGCACAACATTTATTTAAAGCCTGGTTTCCATATGATCGAGTTTCACTTGCTCGCATTCTTTGATTACATTTATTTGGGATTACACTTCGTATATTTTTAGTAACACCATGAACTGCAAATGATAACCAAACTAAAACATTCAAATGCATATTATTTTTTACCCCAATTACTTAGGTGATTATTATATAGCCCGTGTTATAGACAAAACTGCATTGATGTTAAATCCTAAAAATGATGTTAAGACTGCATGCCTTGGATAATGAATTTTAAAAATGGTGTTTGAACACTTTTTTGAAATTTTAAAATGATTTTGAAGATGCAAAAGTAGACATAAAGGCGATTAGATGACAAAAGCGCTAAAAAATCACATATTAAACTGTTTGTATTGAAATGTTAAATGAGATTCAAGAACGTAAACGCTGCAACAGACTTGTAATAATTCCTTGGCGGAATACCATTCCATTCCAAGAATTAATTGGGGATCATTTCGGGGTCGACGTGAACAGAAATGGGAATCATTTCAAGGTCGGTATCATTTCGGGGGCTGTACATCTCACCACTGCGGCACCTTTGCTCCGCACTGAGTTTCTCTTTATTGGCCCTGAACCAAGACTATCTCTAATAATTGAAAACCCAAGTATTAAATAGGTTTCGGTTTCTATATCCCTTGGTGCTAGAAGTTATCAGAGCCTGACGTAGGACAATTTCTAAAAAAACTGCTTCTGGCATAAGTGTAATTAAGCGCGTTCGTGATGAAACTTCCGCACCATTTATCGCGCTGTTGTACAACCTCACTTCAATCACGTCACCGCCGGCGGTTTGAAAAAATTGTAATACGGCCTCTTTCAAAAGCTCAGGAAACTTCAAAACCGCACTGCTGGGTATAATTACTTTGTAAAATTATGATGGAAGCCTACATGAGATATTTTGATTTAGGCGCTTACCTTGCCTAAACTTCAGGGACAACGAAAGTTTAGTTTATCTCTTCTCATTTTTAAGGATCCTAATCATGAAATTCCTAAGTATTTGAGCTTGAAATTTATCAACCGTATGGATGCAGCGCCACATAATTTAAGAAAATCGGTTAACAACTAGCATTACCACTGTCCGTACTGGAGACTTCAAAAAGAGTTTCAGTTATAGTGGGGCGGTATTGTGGATCACTAACAGCAGGCACGATCGAGAACTATCCGATTTACTTGAATAAGTATCCCTTATTAAATTTTGCTCGCGGCGCTTATTTGAAAGTTGAACGCGACAAAAAAACTGTTTCTTTTAAGTTACCTTTGAATTTTGGTTGTACAGGAGCTGCGGTGCTTATTTAAGGTACTTTCAAACTTTTTTCTAGAATGCGGCGTTTATTCCAGGCAAGCGCTCGATCAGGGGGGCACTTATTTGTGTGATAACGGTATATCACTGCCTATAGAATAGCATGAAATATAAGTACTGGGGCAATTTAATGAAACTGTGTAATTTACAAGTGTAGTTGGGCTATTGTTTTCTGACTATTATGTAATGGCTACACTTAAATTACACGAATGAATTACACCTATACAAGTGTTATTCAATTGATCCGTGGAATTGAGAGCCGTTAGCAAATTAAAGGTAGCAAATTGGACCTGAGTAACTGTAAAAACTGATTACAGTAACCCGCATATAAGAACCTAAAATTTAAGAACCTGTTAGGCTAAAATTTTTAGTCATTTTAAACCCCCTTTTCATAAGAAGGTAGGTAGGTAGGTACTTTATTAAATACATTGCAGCATAAGCTGAATTGCGTATTTACACAATGGTAATAATTTATACTAATAATTGTAAAAATGAGTAATAATTGTAATAGCTTAGACTAAAAACGTATAATAAGAAACCCAAAAATTATTTCCAATTCTGCCTGAAGCCATAAAAAAACTGTTCTTAAATCTATTTGTCTTGCAACGCGGCAAAGTGAAAGTGCGCGCGTGCCTTAGATTATAGTTGCTGTTATAAAGAGGCGGCAACAACTTTCTTAACTTGTGGTTGTGGTTTAGAACCTATTTAGCCCAAAATTTTCAATAGGTTCTTATTTTACAAAAATGAAGGTACAGATGAAAATACAGAAAAAAAATTTTAGTCTAGGTTTCAGTCGGTAAGATTCAAAATGTAACACAGCATTTTATGGATACAGCAGCATGAAAGACACGCATGCTAATACTTTGGAAAGATAAATTTACTGTATGGTTATCATCTCAACTGTATTCTAGATAATATTATTCAATACAGCAATATATTCCATATCACATATGCCCTGTTGTAGGTATCTGTGCTGATCGCTAGTGTCGCATATCAAATTAAGAACCTAATTATATAAGAACCAAAGTAACCTAAAATCCCACTAAATACCTTTTCTATAAGAAACTATTTAGGCTAACTTGGAAAAATCTGGGTTCTTATATATACCCTGGTTAGCGGGTTCTTACTGTATTACGTACTTCTTAAAGATAACAACAACAACAACAACAAAATTTTAGTTACTTCATATTTTGTTACTTTCGTCTTGATCGGTTGTCCTTGATAAAGCTCCCACAATGAGAGCTTCTGTATTGCGATTTACTTTCATGAGTAAAACAGATTTTCAGTTTATTTCACTTACCGTTCCCCAGTATTTCAGAAAATCAATGTATTTTTTCTTTTCCTCCCTCTTTTTGAATTTTACTGTTAGTCCACAAACAGAAGCAGCAAACTCATCTGTCAAGGTCCATCCTTCATTTTCAACTGATTTTAGTTGGTATCTTGCTTCCCCTTTATTGCAGATTTCTGTGCAGTCCCGATAGACCGTTTCTTTCTCTTTTTTTCATTTCCTCGTATTCTACAAGGAAATTTAAAATCCTATTTAGTTAATTACTTCTTCTTTCAATAACAAAAGGGCTGACTGAGTCGAAACAAAACGCTGTAAATTGACTGAACTAATCACCGAGAAATCGTTGTTAAAAGTTTAACTAAAATCTACGAATAGTATTAGCTCCATATTCAGTCTCGAAATATGAATTTTTCCTCCACAAATTCTATGGGGAATGTGTACAGGGTTTCCGCGCAGCGATTTCTGGGATCATTTGGCATGGGTTGATAAGCGTGACTTATTTAACAATTAATGAATAAGGCTGACACCCTCCGAGATCTCCATAATTCTTCATATGATACGAAAGTCGAATTCAATAATTGTTTTATTATTCAGTCAAAATAACTCCTAGTTTAAAAACATGGCTAAAACACGCTTACCTCCATCGATCCATCGATGTTAAGTTCATCTTCGATAGTGAACGTTTGGGTATGTCCAGCTCCGCAAATATTCTCAAAATAGCAGATGTCGCCCTTCGAGTTGTCTTCTTGCTGTTCTTGCCATGTTTTTAATTATTTTTTCGCCCAGTTCTTACTCTTGAAACGAGTGAAATGTCCGCCATTTTTCAAGTTCACAATCAAAACAACTCAACCTTGTCCCCAGGTCTTCTCGGTTAACGGTGCCTTAACCTGCACGAACGCTGCATTTGTGACGTCATTTCCTCGTTAAACACAAAATTCTTCCAAATTTGGTCATCCAAAGCTGGTTATGGTGAATTATGCGTGTGCTTTTAGCCAATCAGAATCGGGGAAATATTTTGAATGAATAATAAGATTGATTAATGGTTGCCTTAATTAGCATCGACCAATCATAAGTAACGATTGTCACACAAACGATGCCAGAAAACGCTACCTGCAAAGCTTGCACCCATTCATCCTAGAGTTTCGGAAACTAGAAATTGGTTGTCCATTAACACTATTTTCTTCTTTATTATATCCATTTTGAAATCATTGTTGATCCCTGCAATCTGATTGGCTCTCAGCAGCGTGATTTATTCCCAAATCACACCTTTTTTGCTCTAAATCAAATCTGTTTTAAATCGCGTCATTCATGTTCTAAATCGCACCGTTTCTTTTTAAAATCGCACCATTTTTGCTCTAGAATGCATCAGTTCTGTTTCAAACACAAAAGGAGATGTAAAAGCTTTTTTATTTCCGCTTTTCAACAAACCAGCTACCCTGTCACTAAACTGTTGGTTTTGACTGAACTCTGCGATTTCAAAATGGATGTAATAAAGTGATAATTGAACTTCGTGTCGTGCAATTTTGGTGTGAAATCACACTTGAGGTTTCAAATCGAAGTCGCGCAAATTGCGCTTCATTCAGTTCAATCACCACCATGAATTAATAAGACTGTGTTATGTGTAAAATTTTTAATGGCAGTCCACTTACTTGCACTTAAACTGAAGGAAAAGTCAAACAACCCGGAGTAGCCAGCTGGTTTGGAATACGAAAAAAAAAAAAAACAGATGTTAAGAGGTTCAGCAAAAAGATGGGACCCTTTACACCCCACCCCGTCTATATGTAATTTATTCGTTTAAGATTGTCCTTTTGATGTTTAAGCGCCCTTATTCTCTACAGCTCCGTTTTCGAAAGAAGATGTAAAAGATTATTTTGGCACGTTGGAGATCGAAGAACAAGGCGTATCGTATTCTTAGGAAAATGGCGTGTAAACACCGTCTCCTGTCTCCTCACCAACCTCTATTTTGGAGGAACTTTTCAATAGTTGAACTGGGGTCAATTTAATAACACTTCAATAGTGGAACTTGCAAAGTTAGTTATGGTTTTTTAGTATATACACACTCAGTGATCTTGGTAATTCAAGCAATCTGATTAGTTAGCTATCTCGGACTATGACGTTATATTCCCGCGCTAGGCGGTGAATATAAAACAGAACAAAATCGCTGTCGTGAACTGGGTGTTTTGCCAAAGTTTGATAGTAAAGCCCTCTTGAAAATACACGAATATCCAAGTGCTGATGATTTTGAAGGCAAGAAAAGACCTCATTGTGTTTAAACAGCGTCATTTATTGAGAAGTGGTTTACCGTAGCTGACTTTTTGTAAGCTCGAAGCTATGTTTACCACTACAGAGGAAAACGAGGTCGCTTTATCACTGTTTTGTGATTTCGGAATTTTCTCGCAAGACCAATTTTGCCTATAAATAGAAGTTAATTTATGGAGAAACAAGAACGCACTTGCAACGGCTCCCAGCTCTCGCCTGCTTGGAGATCAGATAGAAAAATGAGGAGGTGATTAATTCTACAAGAAACATGATAATAAATAATAATGAGCTTTATTAAGGTATATGATCTGCTATAAACCCTTCCATTTGAAAAATTTATTTCTCAAATGATTAAGAATTTTGCAAAATAAAAATTACAGGCCTATCAAGCGAGAGCTGAGCTTTCAGAAAATTGATATGCGAGGTGTCAATTTTCACACCTAAGGTGTTATTTCCGATTTATATCGCAGGCTCAAAAATTCAATAATTCCGTATTTCTGGCTTTCTCTCGACAGCTAGGAATAACAAGAAAATCGGAACTGACTTATGCTTAGTTTGTTCATTTACCTTTAAATTCCCGGCAGTAGCCAGTAATTTTTCCTGAGATATAGAGATGGAACTTTTTTGTAATGCCTCGTAACTTCAGGCCACCGCAAAAAATCCAAAATATTCCGGGAATTGCCGGGAATTCAATAGATTTTTCCTTTTCATCATGTGAATAAACCTGGCAAGTTTCAGCGCGGTATTATAAATCCTCATCTTTTTACATCGATTTGTTTTCAGTGCGGTCCAACAGCCGCAAAATTGCCCTTTATTTTCGTCGCGCTGCGCTGTTTTCTTCGTCGCCATCTTGAACTCTTACGAGTAAACTGCTGTTCTTAATGTTTGTTGTGACACTGATCTGATTGTAGCACGGAAAGTGGCGAGAAAATACGAAAATCTTCGTTTGAACTCGTTGCGTGACGTGCTGTCAGTATGGCGTGGTAAACAATTTTTTAGCCTTAGCAACGTGCTAATTTGCATAACAGATCATTAAACTGCGGCCTTATCTGTCATCAAAATATCAAAATATCAAAACAGTCGTACTTAATTTGGGGAAGCAGAATGTAAGCGAATGTTGCTATAATTTGCCCTGGCTTACTTGAAACTCATAACGCGTTATCGCGTGTCGCGTTGTGAAAATTGCAACATTTCTGTCAACAACGGAAAGTATCGCGTCAGATTTCAGCCCTGTGATTATAAATATCTCCAAAAAAGCGCTTTTAGATATCAACTTTGGCCTTCGTTTTCTCGGCTTGTATTAAACGAAAATGCTTCACTTTTTGGAATTTGAGTTCAGGTTAAGAGTACATTTCAAATAAGCGATTTTATAAGCATGTTCATTTTTTGACTTTATAGCAGTTCTAATAGTCTCATGCCTTATAGCTCAGGTACAGTGCCTTACTAATTGGGGGGACTGATTTATTCGCGAAAGGTTTTTTACTTCCTACTTTATCGACGTCGATACTTGTAATTTGTTTCTGAATTGATTTAGTACGCGCGTTAGCGACGACCAAAAATACCTCTCCGGTATCAGGCTATACGCGTGTATAAATACACAAGAATTCAAGGGCCTCGATTCCAGAGAGTTATCGAAAAGGTTATTTACATGGCACGTCATTTCAATCCTCGCCGAAAATAAATCGCATGCTCATCACAAGACTCATTTGCATACAGTGAAAGTTTACAACACCCGATCATCGCAATTTTGCTAATTGAGACTCTTATTTTTTTCGACCACTCAGCAGTGTTTACTTGCTCCAAAGTAATCAACGCTTTCAAGCGATAGAATTCGTGGGCCGACACGTTTCGGAAAAGCTCAAAATTTAATCTTTCCTAAGCTTTCTTCGCAAAACATGCGTGGCTTCAATCACGCAACGATTCTTAGACCCAGTTTCCACGGTCTCCGCAAGGAACGCCTGGCACAATGGCCTGCTTTTTGTGACCCCAAAAACGGACCAAAAATTCCGGGCGGGTACTTCCAGAAAAGTTGGGTGGGGTGTGCAGCAAGCTTCCTGAAACCCTTACCCTATTTCAGACCAAAATCTGTGATTTTCCCTGCCCTATTTCAGACCTGATCAAAAATTTGATACCCTATTTCAGACCTGAAGCCCTGGAGCCCAGCGCGTGACCGAAGCATGACAAGCTGTTACGGCACGTACACGGTAGTTGGCGTAAACATTAAAAGGGAAATGGATTTATCGCCAAATGATGAAGAAGTAGCTAATTCTTCTAAAAAACATGCCAAATTCAAGACTAGAAGGCACAAGCCATACCCTGTTTAAGACCAAAATGGTCGAAATTGATACCCTATTTCAAACCAAAACGGCTAAAAAAAAAATCGTTTTAGCGCGGCACATACCTATACAGCCTATATAAGTGACTACCCCTCCGGGGCGAAAAACACGTTGCAGATTATGAGTCTCGCTGCTTACGCAAGCGAGACTAAAGAAGAAGGCAAATACTTTCGAAAATTGTTCGTGCCAGCAAGTTAACAAGGCAAAGAACATTGGAGATAAACAACGCTCACCTAGATCGTAGCCGTTGTTGACAGCATTTGCAAGAAGCGACAAAGAAAACTTTCTCATTCACGGTGAGTTGGCAGAAACAAATAAAGCTCTACTTTTCTTCTCAGAATTGAGTAGTAATTTAAAGTTTCGGCGTTTTCTTTTAAACCGTTGAGGCTAAAGCTTACAAAACTCGATACAAAAAGATTAAAACTATCATTTGCCATGTTTGAAGATACTGTAAAGATCTAACTTTTGCGTATCCATGAGACTGTTTACGGCTTCGTGTTCACCCATGAATTCACCCGTCAATCAAACTAATCATTTTTTAATGGTTTCCTTTCTGATTCTTTTGAAATCACTTCGTGTGAATATACTAAAACAATTATTCACCTCAGCCTCGGTTAATATTGTTGAATAATCTCCTCGACTTCGTCTCGGGGATTATTCAACAATATTAACTTCGCCTTCGGCGAATAACTGTTGAATAGTCTAAAACAATGGCTACGCTAATAAGTTACACTTTTTAGAGTTGTAAAAAAAACTTGCTTCCATGGCGTCAGGGGGACAATTTTGGTGCAGTAAAGAAGGCAGTCACCTAAGGGAACTAAGCCAATCCTGTGGGAGGCGTGTTGCACTTTTCGTATCTAAACAATATTTTTGTTCCAAGAATTTTACATACGTGTTGGACACGTGAGTCGGTATGGAAGCGGATATCACGTGTAGTGGCCAACGCTTGTCCTAATCTGTGAATAACATCAGTCTGACAAGGAATCATGCTTTTGGGTTGGTTGCTTTGTTAAATTTGTAAAAATTACCTTCAGCGCTGACATCCACATTTAACTTATCCTGGTAGCGTTTGGTTCCCCCAAAAATCTTCGTTGATTTGGACATAGAACATGACTGCCTTTCTGCATAGCAAACCTGGATCGGGACGTTCTCTCCGGCATCTGTGGTCAACTTCAAGATTCTCTTTGTTTTATCAAATCCCGGATCAACTCCCCCCAGGGAATGTTTCCCCTCGGGGTTTCCCCGTAGCAGGTCATACTTTACACCAATAAATCCCAGTCCTGCAGGATTTTTGTTTCTTTGACAAAATCCGCCAGCAGGATCTGGAAAGGGGTCATGCTGCTCCTTTTGGCCCGAAGCTTCCCGACTCTCCTCATAGGGAAGTGCATTTGAAAACCATCGAGTTATAAGCATAAGGGTCAAGAGACTTGGTGTGATCAATATTAAGGATTTCATAGTTGATACACCTAAAAGATAAAATATTTCAAGTTAAGCAAGAACACTCTATATTTTAGTCTTAATTCTGGTCTTAATTATTAATTTACTTAACAAAGAAATTTACTCAAAAGTAAAACCATTTACAAAAACGAGGATTATCAAAGCATAATTCATAAACACTGGCAATGAAAATTGCTTGTCGTATTTCAAAGCTAATGTTAACATATCAGTTTCGTTAATCACAACCAATAAATTTATCGACTGTAAAACACAAACCAGCTACTTATCAAGTGCCGTGTTAATAATTATTATTGTAAAGAATTTGCATACCGCCGACGTAAATGGAACATTTTGGAAGATGAGTATCATTAAAAAAAAGCCATAACTTAAAAAATATAAAAAAAGACAAGAAAATTTAAAAAAAAAAATAAAAGAAAAGAGGGTTCAAGACGTTTTAGTTAAACTTTAGCAAAAAGCGTTGTGAAGTGGTAAAATAACTTTTATGCCGGCACGCTGAAATAGACGATTCGAATTTTAAAATAAAACAACAATAATAAAAAACAAAAAGAAAAGTTGAACTGACCTTCAAAATTTCCCAAATGAAAATTCGCGTGACCTTACAGGCAAATGAACTTGAAGGCCTTTGAGTAAAGGTTTGTATAAATCACTTTTAACGACTGAAACATGCACGCCTTAAACGATTACAACACATAGTTTCAAGAAACCTTGAATACGCCTTACAAGTTGACATGTCAAGCAGTTATTCAAGTTTAGAAATGTATTTCAACAAGAATAGGAGAAAATGATTATAAACATGACCTAAAATAGAAATACAGTTAGAAAAACGTGGCCTCAGTTTATAAACACTAAAACGTTAATGCTCGCAGTCGAAACTCCCCAGAATTCTTTGGGGACTAAGGAAGGTGACTGTTGTCGAGAGGTTCAAAAAAAAGTAAAATTGTCCTCCGGGATGAAAGGTTGCCACAGAGAGGGGGCCATCACCACACACTCGATTGTGTTTCTAAAGAGGTTTCTGAAATGATGTAGGTGAATATTGAAAAACATTTTTCAAGGGCTTACAGCTGATCTTTCTTAACAGCGACAAGCAAGGTAAGGTGGTTTCATCTCCTAGGAGTCATCAACTTGTTCAAATTAAAGGAGAAATTAAGACTAGATAAGACAAAGTAATGGAGCATTCGTGTCATACAGCAACGTAATAACGTTTATCCGGAAATGCCGTAAAATTCCGAAAATAAGCCCCTCCTTATATAAGCCCCTCCAAATATAAGCCCCCAAACTCCTAACGCAAAAAACCCTTCGTTAAATCGCCCCTCCAAATATAAACCCCCGGGGGCTTGTACTTGGAAATTGCCCTCAAATACAAAGTAAAACAAAGCAAAACCCGTAAATTTCCAACTATAAGGCTACCTTATTCGCGCGCACTTAATTTCGCGATTTCGATGGGGGAAAATGATAAAAGATCATTAAATTTCGCGAAAGCGTTGTCAACGTCATTTTAATTATTTTCAAAAAAAACAGTCTGAATTACAACCTTTCTAAACAAACTGGAACAAGTTAAGATTAGGTACATATTGTCCTAGAATCCGCAATGTTTCTAAACATCCAGGTCAAAGGGATCTTTCGGTGGAAGTTTCTTTGAGCCACTAACAACATCAGTTACGCCAGCCTTCTTCTATCCTTTTGCAATTGACTGTCTGCCTTCAGAGCTAGACAAATGGTTCTACATTTTAACGATCCAAGTTGCATGAATTGGTTTGAGAACGGAGTCGCAGGTCAACAGCAACATCATCGAGAACCACCCCTGAATCTAGTTGACTTTCATTTTGCGCCGAATACCAAGACGTGAATTGGTCTTTCATAAACTTTTTTGCTTCTCTGTTAACAATCAAATCATCTTCAGATGAAGATGAGTACTTAGATTTTCTGCTGGATATATTCATGTGAAATCTTTGCAAATCAACTATATTGATCACACTTGACAAGTGCAAAATGGAGCTTACCAGGGAATAATTTATTATTTATGTCGATACATAAGCTGTACATGTCGTTGTTGATCATGTTTATCAAGTTTTTTGTGATTCAAATTTCTTACCATGGTATTTCATTTCGCGAGGCTTTAATTTTGCGATTTTTTTACAATCAAAGCATAATCTGATTCATAAACATTGGCAATGAAAATTGCTTGTCGTATTTCACAGCTGATGTTACCATATAATTGTCGTTAATCACAACAAATAAATTTATCGATTGTAAAACACAAAGCAGTTACTTATTAAGTGCTGTGTTAATAATTATTATTGTAAAGAATTTTTATACCGCCGACGTAAATGGGACATTTTGGGAGATAAGTATCATAAAAAAGCCATAGCTTAAAAAATAAAAAAAAGACAAAAGAATTACAAAAGAAAAATAAAAGGGAAAGAGGGTTCAAGACATTTTAGCTAAAATTTAGCAAAAAGCTTGGTGAAGTGGTTATTTCTTCTGAGGGTCATCAAATGGTTCAAATCAAACCAGAAATCAAGAGATAAAAAAAAAATAACAACAATAATAATAATAACGGAGCATGAACATCACCGAACAACAAAATAACTTTTATGCCGGCACGCTGGAATAGACGATTCGAATTTTAAAATAAAACAACAATAATAAAAAACAAAAAGAAAAGTTGAACTGACCTTCAAAATTCCCCAAATAAAACTTCGCGTGACCTTACAGGCAAATGAACTTGAAGGCCTTTGAGTAAAGGTTTGTATAAATCACTTTTAACGACTGAAACATGCACGCCTTAAACGATTACAACACATAGTTTCAAGAAACCTTGAATACGCCTTACAAGTTGACATGTTAAGCAGTTATTCAAGTTAAGCGGTGCGTGATTGTTACAAGCAATCAACATGTACTGTCTTTACAAAGAAATTTATTTCAACAAGAATAGGAGAAAATGATTATGAACATGACCTAAAATAGAAATACAGTTAGAAAAACGTGGCCTTACTTTATAATTATGTTGTTTCATACTTCTTTAAGTGCAAGTATATCGTTGCTTAGTTTTGACTTTGTTTGATGCAATTATAACCACTCTAAAACGTTAATGCTCTACAGTCGAAACACCCAAGAATTCTTTGGGGACTAAGGAAGGTGACTGTTGTAGAGAGGTTCAAAAAAGAGTAAAATTGTCCTCCGGGATGAAAGGTTGCCACAGAGAGGGGGCCATCACTACGCCCTCGATTGTGTTTCTAAAGAGTTTTTTGAAATGATTTAGGTGAATATTGAAAAACATTTTTCAAGGGCTTACAGTTGATCTTCCTTAACAGCGACAAGCAAGGTAAAGTGGTTTCATCTCCTAGTAGTCTTGAACTTGTTCAAATTAAAGGGAAAATCAAGACTAGATAAGACAAAATAATGGAGTGTTCGTGCCATATAGCAACGTAATAAAGTTTATCCGGGAATACCGTAAAATTCCGAAAATAAGCCCCTCCATGTATAAGCCACATACTCGTAACGCAAAAAACCCTTCGTTAAATCGCCCCTCCAAATACAAGGACCCCGGGGGCTTGTACTTGGAAATTGCCCTCAAATACAAAGTAAAACAAAGCAAAAACCGTAAATTTCCAACTATAAGGCTACCTTATTCGTACTTAATTTCGCAATTTTCGTGATTTCGATGGGGGAAAATGATAAAAGATCATTAAATTTCGCGAAAGCGTTGTCAACGTCATTTTATTTTCAAAAAAAAAATTCTGAACTACAACCTTTCTAAACAAACTTGAACAAGTTAAGATTAGGTACATTTTGTCCTAGAGTTCCCAATGTTCCTAAACATCTAGGTCAAAGGGATCTTTCGGTGGAAGTTTCTTTGAGCCACTAACAAACATCAGTTACGCCAGCCTTCTTCCATCCTTTTGCAATTGATTGTCTGCCTTCAGAGCTAGACAAATGGTTCTGCATGCCAACGATCAAGTTGCATGAATTGGTTTGAGAACGGAGAGTCGCAGGTCAACATCAACATCATCGAGCACCACCCCTGAATCTAGTTGACTTTGAATTTGCGCCGAGTACCAAGACGTGAATTGGTCTTTCATAAACTTTTTTGCTCTATTAACAATCAAATCATCTTCCGATGAAGATGAGTAGTTAGATTTTCTGCTGGATTCATGTGAAATCTTTGCAAATTACACACTTGACAAGATGCAAAATGGAGCTTACCAGGGAATAATTTATTATTTATGTCGATACATAAGCTGTACATGTCGTTGTTGATCATGTTTATCAAGCTTTTTTGTGATTCAAATTTCTTACCATGGTTTTTAATTTTGCGAGGATTTTTATTCGAGAGGCTTTAATTTCGCGAAAATCGCGAAATTAAAGTCGCGGAAAATTTTGAAACGCAAATTTCCCTCTGTAGATAAGCCCCTCAAAAAGGGCTTTGAAAAATATAAGCTCCGGGGCTAATTTTCGGAATTTTACGGTACTGAAATAGGAATTTGGTCTTTAAAATGTTGGAAAAATAACCAAATGTAACTATCGAAATTCCCCAAATGACACTTTTAGCGACCTTACAGGCAAATGAACTCAAGATCTTTGAATAAAAGTTTGACGACTGAAACATGCATACATTTAACGATTACAACACAACCTTTCAGAAAATCTTGAACAGGCCTTACGAGTTGACATTTATTCAAGTTTAGCAGTGCGTTATTGTTACAAGAAGCCCACATGTGCTTTCTTTTAATATACAATGAGGGAGGAATTTCATTCAACAAGGACAGGGAAAACAGTAATGAAGATAAGAGAAACATTTTTTGCTCACGTATATCTAGAAATACTGGAATATTTTTTAAGCTTCGTCACCACTTCTCTCCATCTCAACTCAGACAAATCTATTACAACTTATTCTGTCCCCATCTCTCCTATGCCATGATTGCCTGGAGCAGTGCCTATAAGTCCAATCAGAAAGCCTTAAGGGTTGAAACGTGTAACTCGCGTTCAATGCTCGTGAATATTCACTTTTACCATATTTGGAAACCTCAGTGAAAGATTTCCATTTTCAACAAACTGGCTGCCACGCATCATCATGCGGTGGTGTTAAGCCTAGAGTTCTGCATTTTAAGGTTAATAAATCCACCGTTAAGAGACAAAAAATGGAAAGAGAGTTCAAAAGAATGCTCAGTTTTCTTTTTGTGGAGGAAGGGAAGCTTTTCATCAAGAAATCGTCCATCGAGGAATTCAATCTTGTTTTCTTTATGGCGGAGCGCATGGTCTGTTTTGAAATGCAACTAAGGCAGCGAAGTTTTTTCTGAATTTTCAGGTGCATTTTGCACTCTATGGCCAAGAAACTTACGTTTTTGTATTCTTAAAGTTTTCATAGACGTTTTATACATTTTTCTCTTCAGCGCTAAAGAAAAATTACAATTTGAGATGGATTTTGTGTTGAATTTGCCATGCGCTAAGCCGATTGTGTACTTGGGTGTCGGATCCACGATCCAGATAGTGTTATGGGAATTGGTTTAAAGGATTAACTTTTTGGATTTTGAATAAAAATTTTCAAGAAACGGCTTTTCTGTCTATTGTTTTGAGTTTGTTCATTCATAAAATTAGCTAACTAATGAATTTTATTCGAAAATATGTTTTACTTTTTATTGTAGACTTTTAATATGAGAATTTTAAAAGCCTATTTGTAGTATAAGTTTTAATACTGCGCAGAAGGTCACCGAGGTATCGTTTTTTGAAGTGACAACTTCAAGAAGTCGCGCATCAGTCGTCAATGGGTTTCTTAATGTTAAGTTTGGTCCGGGTGGTCAGCCAAGTTCCTGCTGAGTATTTCGGTAAGTTTCCTGGTTTCAATCTTTGAAAGCTTACTCGGCTTTGGGAAGTTTTCCCCCTTTTGTCGGCCATTTTTTAAGCAGGCGCGGGAACGTGAAGTGAAATTACGTCAGGGTCGTTTACGAAGTTTGATTGGCTGGTTATCTTTTCCTCTCGTTCGAAATATGGTACTTTCGAAAATGAATACTCACGAGATTCGGACAAAGCGAACATATGAGAGTTACACGTTTCAACCCCTTATGCGTTTCTGGTCCAATATAAAAGTTCTTCAAATCAAACAAAACCACATTGTAAGGATACTATTTTTTTTCTACTTTGTATGGGAAAAATACAGAAAATCTGTTCATCATATATATGAACTTCAAGCATTAAGATGTATCCGCAAATGGCATAAACAAGAGCTCTCATCAATCTTTAACAGTTGCTCCCATTATGCCAAAAACATCCACTGACAAAACACAAGATACACTTCAAAAGACAATCTATATATGACATGTTTTGGAACAAATACTGGCAAACAAGCGATATCTGCAACAGCAGTAGACCTCCGGCAGGAACTAACCCCCAACTTTAAACCCTTAAGGACTTCTATTTTTAACAAAAGGGTGAAACAATACTTGTTAATTAAGCAAAATTCTTCTTCTGACATCTAACACCAACTAGCTACCTCTTTCTTCGATTCTTGTGCGTGTATGCTCTATGCTTTATGCTATGCTCTCTTTTTATGTATTTTTTTAGTAAGCCATTCTTGCCATACTTTAGCTTATGCTCATCTATTACATATTTTTTTTCATTTCTATTTTTTTTTTGTCTTTTATGTATTTTCTGTTTGTGAATTAAGCTACATTTCAAATATACATTAAATGTCTAGAGAGTAACTCGAAAACCTGGCGGTGCATTTAGGCTCTATGCATTTCCTTCATTAATACTTATTTTTTTGTTATCTTACAAATTAACTAAAATACGTAAATATATATAATAAAAATATATACACAATGTAACTTAAAAAGATAAGAGAAATGCAAATGTTGTTGTTAGAATCCCTTCGGGAGAGGTAATATATTGTATTGTATTCGATCATTACGATCGAATCACCTGCGCCATGTTGGCAGTAGAGCCAGTCATTTACGCGAGTTTAAGTTAACTAATACTAATTGCTACTCAGCTCATGTGCTCCAATTTGGAAACGCTATTAAATATAATTAATAATTAATTTAGACCATCTTAGCATTCAAACAGGCTCCGCAGATGAAGATCACGCTCCTAAAGGTAGAAGTACCGGAGAAAATGAGCTACACGCTTCAGATTTTGTTTATTATCGCCCCTATGGTTTTTGCAATCGAGGAAAACGTCAAATCTGCTTATTCCATAGTCAAAGAGAATAAGCGTATAACTAACCAGACATTCAAAACAGTTGGTTCATCTAGTTTGATGTCCTGCAGCCAGGCGTGCTTAAGGCAGTCGTGGTGTACCTCTACTAATTATGACTTCCTTAAGAGGAGTAGTGAAGGAAACTGCGAGCAGAACAAGCACAAGGTCTCGTCAATAAACGATGACATCAAGCTCACTGATGAATCAGGCACCACTTTCACAATGTTTCTTAAGGTAAGAAAGCTCATAAACGTTTGGAAAAATTACCACCACTGCTGCACTGGATTAAGTTGAAAAAACTGTTATGGACATAGAAGTTGTCATAGCAACGAAATGACGCTATTACTTTCTTACTTGCTGCCGTATTTCTCGGTACTGAGAACTCTTCTTTCAAAATCGTTCACAGGACCCTTTTCCTTCAATAGCCGCCTCGATGTTCGTGAACTTTAAGCGAAATCTGAAAAAGCTTTATTGAGATATTTTGGGATGAAGTTTTTATGGTTAGAAATGCGCTAAAAACGGGACAATCTTATCTATAAAAAAAAGGGCTTTTGAAATGCAATTTCACCTCATAGTAGTTTTAATCTTTTCAAAAACGATGTGTGAAAGATCATGGAGATAATTCTAGCCGATTGTTAGAAAGAAGGACTTGATTAGTTTGTATCGAGGCGCTTTTGTTAGCGGTATTGTAAACACTTTGGTCTACTTAAACAAATTAGCGAATAATTTTAACCTACTGGAGAGATTTTTTTTAAGAAATTGGAGATTCTCGAGATTAACCGGCCATCGTCTTATATGACCTTTGAGTTTCACGATTATTGGTATGTTGTAGAGCAGTAAAATAAGCTCTACAATTCGCGAATTTTTCCCAGAAATTATAAATAAATAATAATGAATAAATTAAAAATTTCTATGGCGCTCTTTCCAGTTGTGATCAAAAAAGCTTTACAAAAATTTATTTAAAATTAAATACAATATTGAATAGAGAAAAAGTAAAAAAACAAAATTTAAAGTGATTCGTTAAAAAGAAAGGTCTTGATTGATTTCTTAAAACTATTTCTTGTTTACAAGTGAGAGCCTCTCATTATTCAGTGTTACTGTCTCCAAGTTTCATTTTCACGTGAACAGCAGTAACTAACAATGCATTTGAAATATGCAGAAATGTTAGCTATTGTAGTCCACGAAACTGTGAAACTGTTGTTGATCACAGAGAGATATTGAGGAAATTGAAGGGACAGGTTCACGTTTCAGGTCATGCTCACTTGTCAAAATGCTGTTTTTCTGCCGGGACACGCTGTATCGTCTATGCAAGCTACATGATCATGTCATAATGTCAAAGAACCAATCTGCACACTCCCCTGGCAGTCACTTGCACTTGATCAACTTAAATATTTGCAAAATAGCTGTAAATTAATCAACCATGGAATAAAACCGGGTCAACAATAAATTCAACGTCGGTAGTGTTGGCATTATCCACTAATTTTTTCTGCGATTTTAGTACTCCTCCGTCCTACTTTAGGTTACTCTGAAATACACTTCTACTTTGAAATACACTCTGACATCGCTGAGATACATGTGAGTGGGATTATTAACCGACATGAGTTAATAATAAATCGGAAAAAATTAATTTAATTAATGAGCATGCCCTTAACCGTGAACCTGTCCCTTTAAATCGTGAATAACAAGAGCGATTATTACAAGAGAGAAGTGACTCCAGAGCTCATGAATTTACGGAAATACATCACTTAAAACCAACGCTTATAGTAAATTTGTGAAGTCAATCAAGGAGAGTCTTCTTTCCCGTATTTATGGCGATAAGAGAACTTATCAGGGTTAGAAAGCGGCGTTTATGGCAGCGTTCGGCCACACCCGAATATAAATTACCTAAATGATCGATTAAGCGCTGCTACTTGAATAGGCACCGCCCCTTTACAATAAGTTAGTAAGCGCTTCTCTCGAATAAGCGCCGGGGCGCTAATTTGGATATTTACGAATTAACGCCCCACCTTCGTTACGACGCTTGATATAAAGAGATCAAAACCATATTGCTTGATAAATAAGACCTTGACCAACTCGTGAGTTCTGAAGTTTTAATGTAGGGAAACTCTTGAAACCGGATTCATATAACAGTTCGAGGTGTCTCTACATATTCCCCTGAGTGTTTTACCCGTAGTTAAAATAAGCGCTGCTCTCGAATAAGCGCCGCTCTTGTATATGAAATGAAATAAGAGCCGCGGGGCTTAATCGATAATTTACGGTAATAATAGTAATAACTAAAAATTTATAACGCGCCTTTTCCATGCAAATATGATCAAAAGCGCGTAACAACTGATGCTTTAAATGTAAAAAAAAAAGAAAAGAAAAGCTCAAATGTATCCAAATGTTTCGCTCCATTACTTGCTTATTTCCTCGGTTGTGAAGCAAATACCCGAGTTGATAAAACCTTTCTATTTTGAATAAAGCGAGGAGGGAAATTGGTAAATAAACGTTAAAGCAAACAGTCTATTAAAGGTTAATCTCATTATCAGGCCTTCCCAACGCAGGGATTAGGGGAGAGGCCAAACAAATAGTCATAGACTATAAGAGAATATCAACCATTGCCGGAAGAGAGTTTATGCTTAGGGGAGCTTATTTAAATACAGATTTCATATACTGTACTTCAACTCGTAATATCTTTACTCTTTAAATACCTCTCAATTCTGGAAAGGTACTAATACCCCGGCTTTCGGGCAGAGTCTGACCCCGTATAGCCCATTGTGGGGAGTATTCCCCCCAGCTAGAGATAGAAGGTTTTTTTTTCTGTTTCCGTGTGAAGATCAGTCAGTTTCCATCTTTAGGTTGAACCCTTGAGCAATGGAAAACACATTACATTAAAACACTTTAAGTCACGTTAAAACACGTGCTACTTTCCATAAGAATGACATACTTAAGCTATGTAAACAATCTGTGGGATGTAGAAGTTTAAAAAAGGAAATAAGAAATTAACTGACAATATATGATTCATTCATATATTAACTATTATTCCATGGGTGCGCGTTGGATATGAGATGGTAGATAGCCAACTCGACGCTACGCGCCTCGTTGGCCATATTCATATCCAACAAGCACGAGTGGAATAATTGTTTTATTAAAAACGCTCTCAAAATCTCGATAAATCTCCCCGACTTTATTTTGTTAGAACAAACCGGAAAAGACAAGGGACTTCAGCATTTCACATGTCACACGTCTATCAAAACTGTCAACGCGCGAACGGACTGGATGATAGAAAAATCAGAACATTATGGAGATGAATACTTTAAAAAACTAATCGGGATTCTAGGATTTTACACAGCAGGGCAGCTAAAAAACTCGCAGATGATGAGAGAACAAAACCAATTTTGAAGTGCAGCCGTCGACTTACTGTGAATTTGGATTCTTGGTGCAGTTACAAAAGTAAGAACAATGAAGGAAAACTATTCCCTCGGTCGCCCAGTCATGTCTTATACCGACGCCTGGATTGCTGTAGTGAATGGCCGCATAGCCTGCATTTGTAGCTAGTTGCTTTTGATTTATGTTCTTATTTCGGATGAACAGGCTGCAGCTATCTATCGGCGAGTGGCTTCGCGATCATGAAGAAACATACTTGTCTTCTTTTGTAGCTGGTCGACGTATTTTAGTTTCATGTATTTTCATGTGTTTCTCGATAAACTTTCAAACAAACTCTTGTGGCTTTTTTTTTCCCGATGAAATTGTATTTTCTAGTATTCTACGAATGAAAACGATCTTCTTCGGGCGCCATTCTATCCTTCGCGAAAAAAAATCTCAGCTAGCTCTTCCAATTTTCAACTGACGCGTACACTGACCATATATGGAGAGCATGGTATAATGGCTCATATTCCATGATGGCTAAGACAATCAAAACGCTAGAATTGCATTATCCAATGATTCAGTTTTTTTAAAAATATATTTATAAACTATATATATCTTAGTATATTTGTGCTGATACTTGAAAATTTTTTCAGGGCTGCCTTATGACCGGATGCCTTAATGGAGGCTCGTGTTCTTTTAATGAAGAGAAGGACAGTTTTTCCTGCTCTTGCAAGCTGCCATGGAGTGGAGAAAATTGCGAACGGGGTAGGTCTTGTAAATAGTTCCGAGACGATTTTATACTAAAAGAAGTGCGGTCCAAAACTAATAATTTACCGTTAAAGGAAAATGGCATTTGCCATGTGCATTGTGTTTCTCAAAAAAATATACACAAAATTTTTAGCCAAGCCTAAACCGGTCTAAACTCTAAAACCATAGTTCCCGTGAAAGCCTAAATGTTCACTTCAAACCCAAAAAATTTAAGCCCTTGAAAACAACACTAATATTGAGTCTATAGACCTTGTCACAGTTTTCGACGCCATCTTGACGAGTAGGCAAACGCGTGAGAAATTACAGTGTTTGTATGAGAATCTAATTTCGAATAATTTCTGTAGAACAGCTGTTCTGAAAAAAAAAAATGATTTGTAAACTAAAGCTTCACTCCCAAGGATTCTACTGAAAAAATTTGAGGGCATTCCATGCATTAGAAGACCAAGAACCACTTTTTAAATTTCCTATACATTTGTCTGTTGGAAAGTAGCGGGAAAATTACAGACAAACATATGGAAAATCTAAAGCAAGCCTCTGGAGAAATTTAAGCACAGGTACGCCTCCAAAATGTTTTAGAACAATCCTTTGCTTTGTAGCTTTAGTTTACAATTGATAATTTTTTCAGAACAGCCGTTTTAAGGAAATTATTCGACATTAGATTCTCATACAAACACTATAATTTCTCACACGTTTGCCTACTCGTCAAGATGGCGTCGTAAACCCTGACAAGGTCTATTGAACTTTAACTCAACCCTGTTTAAACTCGTGGGTGGAAACAAAGTGGCCCTGACTTTTATGATTCATAACTTTGAAAAAAAAAACAAAACAAAACAAAAATGTGCATCCCAGAACAGGAAACGGAATAGACACACCTTGTTTCCCTTGATGGAATCTTTTTACCCTGCGAATCTTCGCATCTATGCATTCAATTGAAATCCAAGGATTCCTCTATCGCAGCAAAAATCGATTTTTCCAAGGCCTTCAAGATCGCTAAATTAATAATAATTGTAATTGTAATTGTAATTGTAATTGTAAATATCTTATCATCCACTCCCCTCAGGGCTTTTCAGGGATAATTTACAACACTGGTTGGGGGACTTTGCCAGACTGCTTAAGGTGCAGTTTACAAGTAATGAAGGAATGAGTAATGATGCCCCCACACATGAGTGTGAAAGTGAGATAGACCACTACACCGGGCACTACGTGCCCTACTCTTTACGAAGAGTGTGTGGGTTCTTTAACGTCCCACAGATTTAATACATGTGCAAGGGCTTGTGAGACGGGGCCTACGGTTTATCGTCCTTATCCGAGAAGACTAGAAAGTCTAGCCGTTTGCAGATATTATTACAAAGGCAGCACTTTCTCCTCAGTTATTTA